GAAAATAAATCCGATAATAATAATGATAATGATGAAGAAGTGCGTGACGATGTCAGTCACGATTATGGTTAGTACGAGTCGTTCACCGCCTTAGTCTTGATGGCGAACAAGTCTATTCATAGTTGACTGGCGACGAAGAACAACGATTGTTTTACTGAATCATTATGAGCGTTTAATCGGTATAAATTTTACTGTTGTAGTTAGATGTAAGACAAAGCTTATGGGAGCCAGCCCATTGAGGTTATCATACACACAATTTTGACACCTTATACAGCCTAACATTTGAACTACAGTACTCATCAGTCTAGTGGTGATACGTGTGTTTCGACCTGTATGATAATTTATTGCCTTCAAAGTGCTTACCTCATTGGCTCGTTGAAGCATCATCAATTTGTCCTGAACCGAACGAATGGAGGGTGTCACTTTGAGAGCATTGTTGCTCGCAAGGGGCCTTTCTAACACCTGAAACTTTGGTTTGCCCTTGGACTGAAGAAATTATCGTAATGGAAGTAGACCTTAGCGTCCATTTTCATGCGCTGATCAAGAAGTTTGCTCATTCGCACCACTTTTCCGTCACCATATCCCGTTTCTTTCAAAGACTTTTCTTCCTGTTGCGGTTGATTGGCTGTCGCCACTTCTGACCTAAAGCATTGTTCTTAGGTACGCAATCAATGTTCACTTCTATAATCAATTTAGCTAGATTAACGTCTCTTGTCAGATCGTGATATCTGCACATTAGGTGTTTTGGATGGTGGCCTGTCGTCTTATTTTATGACCTTAACCCACTTATAGGGGATTGCTTGTTAATGGAAAAGCCATATTTACAATGTTTTGGAAAAGCAGGCAAGGAGTACTGTCTCCCTTTCAGTATTTGGTACCTGATTGAAACGGCGTAAGCACGTCTCTTGTTTCTAGTGGCCTAGGGACCATGTAAGCAAAACAAGGTTCCATAGTATTTGAGCACCTGTAGTACATGAATGCAAAACCGCATCTCTAGGTAGGACCGACAAGGGAGTTTTCGGATAGCTAAAAATATGCCACGATCCGTAGACATGTATTTACAGAAAAACAAAAACCCAATCATATGGGATTGCTAGCATACTATTAATTATTTTGATACCGCCTCAAAGATATATAATCCTTTTCAGTTTAATTCTTTTTCATAAATATAATTTTTTGTAATACCGCAGATGCTCAAATGCCATGGAGCCTTGGCCTGTTTAAATGGGATCCCTGGGCCACTAGAAGCAAGAGGACGGTGATTACGCCGCTTCAATCCGATATCAAAGATTAAATAACTTTGCGGCAGTATCAAAAACTAGCAATATGCCAGTAAACCTTTGCTGTCACTTCTCCAACATAATCGATGATGAGTGCTAGCGGCGGGTGGTGCATTGCCGTAGCCAACCG